CCATCTGTAACAGATATGAATCAAATGGTATTTTGTACAGCTGGCCAATCAAGTATAGAAGGAATAAATACTGTCTAAGGAAACAGGATTAGAACCATAAATGTAAACACTAGAGCAAAAGAAAGAGCTTCCTATTATAAAAACTACAGTATCGTATGACAGAACAACGATTAGAAAAACATGCATGTGAAAGGATTTGTTTTTCTGTTTTGTTTTGAGATGGAGTTTTGCTCTGTGGCCCAGGCTGGGGTGCAATGGCACGATCTCGGCTCACCGCAACCTCTGCCTCCCTGATTCAAGAGATTCTCGTCTCAGCCTCCTCAGTAGTTGGGATTATAGGCACACACCACCATGCCTGGCTAATTTTTGTATTTTTAATAGAAACGGGTTTCGCCATGTTGGCCAGGCTGGTCTTGAACTCCTGATCTCAAGTGATCCTCCCACCTTAGCCTCCCAGAGTGCTGGCATGAGCCATTGCACCCAACCTGAAAGTATTTTTTAAAAACTATAAAACCCAGAAAATAAAAATAAAAATAACTATAGAGACAATATATAGAATTAAGCCCAAATTTATCAAAAATGTAATTAGACTTTCACCTATTAAAATAAAAAGATAATCAGATTGGTTTATAAAGTAAAACTGGAATCTGTATTGCATATAAGCCCTATACTTAAAGTTATTCAAAAAAGTTGAAAGTAAAAGGACGAGTAAAGACCATAAAGAAAGCATTAAAAATTGGCCGGGTGTGGTGGCTCACACCTGTCATCCCAGCATTTTGGGAGGCCAAGGCAGGTGGATCACCTGAAGCCAGGAGTTTGAGACCAGCCTGGACAACATGGCGAAATGCTGTCTCTACTAAAAATACAAAAATTAGCTGGGCATGGTGGTGGGTGCCTGTAATCCCACCTACTCAGGAGGCTGAGGTGGGAAAATTGCTTGAACCCCGGAGGTGGAGGTTGCAATGAGCCAGGATCCCACCATTGCACTCCAGCCTGGGTGACAGAGCAAAACTCCATCTCAAAAAAACAAAAAACAAAAAAAGAAAAAGAAAAAAATGAAAGAAAACATAAAAAAATCAAGGAAATAGATTCTCCCATATAGTCTTAGGAAGGAATGTAGGCTGCTGACATCTTGATTTTAGTTTTGTAAGACCTACTTTTTACTTCTGACCCCCAGAGCTATAATAAATTTGTGTTCTATTAGCCACTAAAAGTGTGTGAATTTGTTACAGCAGAAAAAAACTAAGACAACTTTTCTGGAGGGGAATCTGGCAATTCCTTGTAAAACTACGCATGAATGACCGGTGCAGCAGCTCCTGCCTGCAATTCCAGCACTTTGGGGGGCCAAAGAGGGCAGATCATTTGAGGTCAGGAGTTTGAAACCAGCCTGGCCAACATGGTGAAACCCCATCTCTACTAAAAATACAAAAATTAGCCAGGTGTGGTGGCACATGCCTATAGTCCCAGCTACTCAGAAGGCTAAGGCAGGAGAATTGCTTGAACCTGTGAGGCGGAGGTTGCAGTGAACCACAATTGTGCCACTGCACTCTAGCCTGGGTGACCAAGTGAGAGTCTGTCTCAAAA